TTTCACTCAGCACTTGCTAAGATAAGACTGATTGTGGTAAATGACATACCCCCTAGAAAAATAAAGGGTGGGTGGGCGGGGCTAATATTTGCTAAGATAAGACTGATTTTGGTAAACGACAGACTCTCTAAGAAAAAAGAGGGTAGGTGAGCGGGGACAGCACTAGTTAAGAAAAGGTTGATTGTGGTAAGAAAATAGAGGGCGATTCGGTGGGATTAGTATTTGTTAAGATAAGACTGATTTTGGTAAAATCTCTCTAAAATAACTTTGTGGAAGAAGAAGATCCAAAGACAAAAGTGAAAATAATAAAGAAAAGCAACTGTTGGAATTAGTCGAAGAGTGGGTGCTCGTGAGTGGTAATAAAACTGTTTTAACAGCTTACGTTCGATTAGTTTCCATTCCGACTCTACAAAAGAACATACAATTAATCCCGCCCACCCATCCCGTCTCCATTTCTGTGATTCATTTTTTCTACTCTGAATGAACTTATATTCAAACGGGGGCTAGTACTTGTTAAGATCAGACTGATTTTGGTAAATAACATATTCTCTAAGAAAATAAAAGATGGGTGGGAGGGCGGGGTTAATACTTGCCAATATATGCTATGTAGGACCGAGAGAAGAATCGGTCATAGATAATTTAATAGTGAGAAATTTCGCAGTTTAAAGTGGGAGAAAAGATAGACTCCGAAATATATGGCACTGGAGGTTTAAATAGGAGAATATGACAGAAAACAGAGAAAGAGAAAGCAGGAAAATATGTGAGAATAATATGGGATGAGAGAGCTAGTAGAGCGCATGAAGAATAATTAACAATGCACCCTTTCGGTGAAGCCAATACGCAAGCAAATTGGGATGAATTGGAACAACTGATAAAAGATGCAGAAATGAAGCTGGAAATTAGTGTAGGTAGAAGTGGGCGGAGAAAAAATTACTGGTGGAATGAGGCATGTTGAGAAAGGCGGCCTACGAGCAAGAATTTTGAAGGATGAAGTAAAAAGAGTGAGAAGTCATCGAAAACAGACGTGGCAGGAGCTCTATAGAAGAGATAAGAAATTCTAGGTAGAACGATTGAGATAGAGAATGATAATAGAGGAAGAAGAGCCACATTATTTAACAACCTGAAACAAGAAGGAGAGAGTTATCATATGTGAGGAAGAGAGAAAATGCATAATGTGTCAAAAAGTCTGAGAAACAATAGAACATATGATGAAAGAGTGTGATAAATTAAAAAAAAGACGAAACAATCGGTCTATTAGTTTCGGAGATTATCTATGTAATAATAATTGACACAAATGACAGACATACGACAGACAGACGGAAACGGGAGACCACTTTTTTCGTACTCTAGGGGTATTTTTAATGGTATTACGAAATTTCTTAAACAGAAGAATTTCGTATAAGGACATTTTTTTTGGTAATAGTTGCTTATAGACAAATAACACTTTATTGCTTCTCTAATTCTTGCCAAAATATAGCCCGCAACTTTATACAAACAATTCTGCCTGAGAACACAAAATATTTGATTGTAACTGTTCTAGTCACAAGAAAGAGAAACAGTCAAGTGTGTAGAAGAAACCACATTACTCGAAGGTAGCAAATCTTTTATTTCTAATAAATTTTGATCATCTACTACACTGTATAACTTCCCTTTGTGTGCGTACTTTGGAAGCATTGAATTACACATAAATTTTTAAGAAGTGATCTAAACTGAAGTGCATTTGGTATCGCATCTTGTGAAAATGTTGATGCATAAAAAAATTTGTAACCTCTGACGTTTAAAAAATACTCCTAAATATCTAAAATAGTTTGTGTTGTCAAAATTAAACCTGTTTGTACTGGTTTGCAATACCCCCCCCCCCCCCCGTTCCATTTAAAATGAAACAATAATTCCTTGCAAAATTTCAGGATATTTTTTATTCACGTAAATTAGATTTGTTTAGCCGAAATGTCACATCGAGACGACATGATATGGAACCATTTACTTAAAAATTTGATAAACCAAGCAGTAGTAGTACGAGCAACGTCGGAAAGAACATCGAAACCTGGATTTTTATTTAACACTTCGTCAAGTTTTTGAGATACTCTAGTACCAATATCACCCCTTAGTGCGTTTGCTTGTTGTTTAAATTCTTTCACTAAGTTTATGGCATCTACCAACATGTTGGGTTTTTCTAACTTTTCTATTTACCTTACATACGAATTGATAATTGCTTCTTAGAAAAGCTAGATCTTGTCGCAAATCTTTGTTTAAATCTTTAATCGATTGAGAAGAATCTTCCCTAGACTCCGTAACTCCTTCCGCAAATTCTTTGATATATTTGTCATAATAAAATGTGGCCTGTAACCATATTCCCCACCTCGTTATAATCGGCTCTGGGGGCAATGGTATGTTTGGAAATTTTTCCTTAAAATGTTGCACTCTTAGTGGGGCTTTAACAAAAATCTTTTTACCATTTGCCACTAATTTATTAACAGTAGGAAACTGCAAACGTATTCCTTCAGCCACTCTGTTTAAACCGTGGGCAATGCAAGTAGAGTGAATTAAATTGGGGTACAATATTTTTAGATTATTCCCTGCTTTCAACATATAACAAGCTGCATCCAAGATCATCAATAAAATTTTATTCGCCGGTATGGCATTTGGCAAAAATAGTGACTTAAGACTGTCATTTACAAATCTGGTAATCGTACTGCCATTTGTTTTATCTAACATTTTCAAATTTACTACATACCCTCGTCTAGGGAAATTTTCATTTAAGATTCCAACAATTAAACTTGCCACGTATCTTCCACAACTATCGGTTGTTTCATCGACAGCGAACCATAAATAATTATCTCCAATGCGATGTTTAATTTCGTTGTAAACTTGTTGAAACACTGGGCCTTCATAATTTTTTCGGAGAGTACTTTCAACCGGAATATGTCGATTGCAGTGTTTTTCAAGGAATTCTTGAAGAGGGCCATTCTCCAATTTTTTTAAAGGTATATTGGACTGGATCATCATTTTACATAAATCGAAATTAAACTGAAACTGCTCATCTTTTGTGGAAGTAGATGCAACAGATTCATGTATGGTCTGCTGTTTAATTTTAGAAACTTCAAACATTTTCTTCCTTTCTACATGAAGAGCCGTTCTGACATGTTGCGTCACGTTATATTTTTATCACTTTGAATCTAAAACAACGTACATATACAGGATTAGTAAAGGAAAATAGATAAACAAAAATTAATGGGCTTACGGTTTTCACACAAGCTCTGCAGAATATTTTGTTGTTTTCTAATTTTAATTCTGGAAAATCCCTTATCCACTCATCCGGCGTCGATTTTACTTTCGCCATTCTTTTAAAATATTAGTAATATTACCAAAAAGAACTCAACATGTAACAAGGGAGAATCACGTATAACACTGTACTACGACAGATGCGATAGACTGATGGTTGTGAAATAAACGGTTCATTTACTTAAAAGTTTCCATTAGAAAAATTTTAAGGTAGGTAGTTGGGTACAATAATCCTTTTTTCTAGAAAATCTTCAACGGTCTTGCCGCAAAATGCCGAAAAAGAACATCTGGTTAAAAGCTTTAATTCATTATCAACGGAAGTAAGGATTTAAAGTCATAAAATCTATGGAGTATTTTTCCAATCCTATAATAAAATTTTATTACCCAAACGACCGGAACCTATTCATAGAAAGGGTCTTGAGTAAGTGTACTTCCATGGTCACGTCCAGGTAAAATGCATACGATACGATACGCCTAACTAACAAGTATTTGTCATTCCCGACAAGGCCGGCATTTGAACAAAATATGCTTAAAACTCATATTCGTCGAAAAAAGCATTAAATAAGCATATAAGTTTTAATATGCATAAAATTGAAAAAAAAGCAAATAAGCATAAAAAAATGTGTCAAATGACTCCAAATTGTATCATAGTTACAGATATAAAAAAGTTTTGAAGTGCTTACATTTTTCACAAAAAGCATTAAACTTAGAAATCCGCTCTCTAGTAATCACTTCTTCGTTTATTCCAAATTTGCCTGCAATTACCAGTTTGTCATTAATTTTTAAATTCTTTAAATTTAAACTGTTAATTGTTTCTACTAATCAATAAATTTCCTCTTCTTTCTGCTTCTAAACACTCGATTTGCGCTAATAATTGTTTTTCAGTGGATAGTAAATTTTGAATCTTGACATTTTTTTCGTTATGCGTTTCTTCTGGATTGATAATTTTAAATGGAGCTTGATATTTCAGGAAAACCCGTTGAGACGAACGTTCATGATAAATTTGACAGTAACTATGTCATACACGTGTTTCTGTCAACCAGTTATATAACCTAAATTAAAAACGACATAAAACATAAAGGCACTCTACTTTTCGAGAGATAGTTGTGAATATGGATAATTGTCGTAATAATTAGTATCCTACCTGCAGCTCTCTTTCTCTCTTGTTTTAATACTCCTAAGATAATTTTTTCGACATTAATCTCTCCGTGTAAGACGTGGAAAAAGTGGAGACGGCGGCGCGTTTCGTGATGTGCGGCGGCGGTGATTAGTCGGCAAATAAGGATAACAAAGCTCGCAACTGTGCGCAATGTTTTTGTGTTCTTGATCCCGGAATGAATAATTTATTACATGTTGTAGCTGCAGGGTGTACACTTTATAAATGGGGGTTGTCTTTTTAGGTTCAGATTAAAATAAAGAAGGATCCGAGGCGGCAAAAATTCCGAGCGGGATGGAAGACAGTTCCATTTATAAAGTTGTACAGATTGTGTCGGAACTTATCGCTGGGATTTAGTGCGGATCAAAAAAGCTATTTTTTGCTTTATCTCTTATTAATTTTAGATCATGCCTCGGAGGGTCCCTCCTTCACGTTGCTTTGTGACGAAGGTTCCAATCTCCTAATTAAATCTGTTGCTTCGGCCTGCCTAAAAGTGATTTGTTTAATTGGCATCAGCCCGGACCACACGTTAATCTAATTAATTCCTGTTAATTTATTTTAGACGGAAGACGATACAACAAACACGACCCAGCCTGAGGACCTGCACTGTCCGTGGAAGTGCGAACTTACTAACGAGGCGGGATACGTCGTCTACTCGGCCCTCGGTAGCTTTTACATACCCATGTTTGTCATGCTCTTCTTCTACTGGCGTATTTATAGAGCCGCCATAAGAACGACGAGGGCAATTAACCAGGGATTTAGGACTACCAAAGGTTGGTGTTCGGTTTCATGTAAAGTCTTGTTCGAAACTGGTTATGTTTAGATTTTTTAAGTGTGTAATAAATAATAACAATCGTCTACGAGCTCAGTGAATTATTGTAATAATGTTTGTTTTGCTTGTTTTGTGGCAAGGTAAAACTACAACGTCGTGTAGTATATATCGTTTGACAATTACTCGAGCGTAAACCAGCTGAAGATCGATTTCTCTAATACGATTACACGTAATTATGGCTAGAAATCAATAACAAAGTGAAAACTGAAAGCTGAAATAAACCAAGGGCAAATTTACATATTTCCCCCGAAACAGTTAACCGACTGAAGTAAGTTCATTAATAGTTCAACTACTTCAAACACGCATAATTTTTTAATTAGGCTGTCTCTACGTATTTCTCAGCTCCTCATGCTCTTCTTTTGTTGATTTATTAATAGAACAGCCGGAAAAACGACGAGAGAAATTAACCAGAGTTTAGAACCACGATGTGCGCTTCAAGACGTCTATTATTTATAAAGAAAAGCTAGTGAGAAGTTACAGGTATTAAAATACGTAGCAGCCCAGTTTTTTATTCGTTTATTTTAAGCTAGTACTTGTCACATCTGAACGAAGTATATTTTTCTTTATGTTTACTGCGCTTTTACGGGGAATATATTTTTCTAACTGAACGTGAGATCCATTCAAAATCTATAGTGCTTCAGTTGCTTATTGTTGATACTTTTTCCGTGTTGTATTTGTGTTTTTATCTAACTTTAAGGACTCTGGATGAGTTGCGTATGTTTTCGTTTATCGCAGCGACATCTAGTTCCACAACTTCAAAAATATACCACTAACTCTTAACAACTATTATCTTGTCCTGTTCAAGTTTTCTTAACTTTAGTTTATGTGTAACTGACGGCTTGAAAAAGTTATTAGAAAGTTCGAACTCAATTTTTATCGAATGTTTCGTTGTCGAATTACACGATTTTAAATCAAATACAACAAGAAAATATTTGTTTTATTTTTGATTTTTTGCTCCATGGTATCAGGTATATTTCGAATAAAATTTCACATATTTCGACTGATTAAACTCCTGAATAAAAATGCGCGTTTTTAATTGACGGTTCGACGGTATAACGAACAATTTATTGATCAAAACAGTTAATTTGTAAAGGAGGTCGAGTGGCACTTGATTTGATAGGTTCTTCAGTTTTTAGAGTCCTCTAGATTACAAATCTTTTCACATAAAGGGAATGATTTTGAATTAACATGAAAACGCTATTTTTAAATTGACGATATTTTAATAATGTTCTGAAAATTCAGCTTTAGATCATTACGTGTGGTGCTTAAACGGTAAGGGAAGTTCGGTATATAGGTTATGGGTTTGAATGAATTGCACTTTTTTTATTTTTACATCCCGAACGGAAATTACGTAAATGTCTTTTAAATTTTACTAAATAATATACTCCTACATGTGTAGTTTATGAATCCGTGTTGAAGCTACAAAACCGAATGCTTTTTAATCACAATTTATCCCAAAAAATTGATCACGTCATCCTATCTACAATAATCAAATCAAGAACGGCTCACCCCATTTTCTTGAAAATTTTATAACTTTAAAGCAATTTTTCTAATAAAACTAGAACCTGCTCGCTGCGCTCGCATTCTAGACTTTTTCTGCAGTTTAGTCTCATAGAAGTAATTAAGAAAGCATCTCAGCGCAATTGTTGACTTATCGAAGAAATGAGGTCGAAATCTACAAAAAAATTCTTTTAGTTATTTTCGAAAGTGGTCGAAAAAAAGTCAAAATTTTGCAAGAAAAAATTTGAGATCTTTTGAAAGTTGTCTAACAATCCACAAAAAATTCTGGGACATAGATCTCAACGTGTTGATTCGAAAAATATAGCGTGTTGATGGTCTCGGAATAAAATTTTCGAAATATCCGGTTTGAAAGCCAATTTTTTTGAAAATCGTTAAAATTGACAATTGAATTGTCGGCATTTTGTAGTATTCTAATAGGATCCATCGGGCGAATCGCTACTTTCATGTTTTATCAACGTCTCCCGTTTTCGTCTGTTTGTCTGCTTTCTGTCGAGATTATCATTAGATAAATAACTTCCGAAACTACCATACGGATTGTTGTCAAATTTAGGCAAATCATGTAGGTGGTAAAATGCTTATCAAAATAACTAATAATTTACTAATAATGTGATGGCGTCACCTTGAAAATGTTTCGTTGTTAACGTTAATTAAATTTATAAAATAACATACAGCCGTAGTTTATGAATCTGTATTGATTTATATTCCTAGACGTCCAGATTTTTGGAAAAAAAAAATACAATTGTGTAACAACATTGTACAATTTACCTCTGAATTTGCAAATCCGAATGTCTTGAAATCTTGTAAACGTTTTAAGATGGTCGTAGGTATGGTAAATCCTTAATCAACATATATCTTCAGCCCCTCCCAAAAATTGATGACGTCGCTACAAAATTTAGCCGAATCAATCCTATACAATACACCAAGTTTTTCTGAAAATTTTTTAAGTATAAAGTAGTTTTTCTAGTAAAATATGATCATGCTCGCTGCGCTCGCATTCTAGACTTTTTCTGTAGTTGAGTCTCACAGAAGTAATTAAGAAAGAATCTGAACGAAATTGTTGGCTTATCGAAGAAATGAGGTCGAAATCTACAAAAAATTTCTTTTAGTTATTTTCGAAATTGGTCGACAAAAAGTTGAAAGTTTGCAAGAAAAAATTAAGATCTTTTTTAAAGTTGTCTAAAAATCCACAACAAATTCTGGGACATAGATCTCAACGTATTGATTCGGAAAATATAGCGTTTTGATGGTCTTGGAGTAAAATTTTCGAAATATCCGATATCGCAAATTTTTTTGAAAATCGTTAAAATTGATATAATGATAGAAGTTTTCGACAAAATGAGGGTGGAAGTAACTTTTGAAAGTCGAACTCTATAAAAAATACGTCAAAATTTTTATTAGGAAAAATTGGGCTTTTGGAAAATTTTCTAAAAATCCTCCTTTTTAAAATAAGACTAATCTTAGCAAATCATATACCCTTCAAGAAAGTAGGGGGTGGGTGGGCGGGGCTTGTACTTGCTAAGATAAGACTGATTTTGGCAAATGATATACCCTTTAAGAAAATAGAGGGCGGGTGGGTGGAGATAGAATTTGTAAAAATAAGACTGATTTTGGCAAATAATACATCCTTTAAGAAACTAGGGGGTGGGTGGGCGGGGCTTCTACTTGCTAAGATAAAGACTGATTTTGGCAAAGAATATACCCTCTCAGAAAATAGAGGGAGGGTGGGTGGGGTTAGTACTTACAAATTAAAACGCTTTTACACTTTTGAACTTCATTTTACTAATTGATACAGGAAGAGAACTCGAAAAAAAAGTTGTAGGAAGGCTTGGTGTATTTAACACACTAAAGCTCTTCTGAGAAAAGCAATAGACAATTTGTATCTCTGTTCAATAAATTCTGCTCTTTAATGGTTTATGCAGAAAAATAGATCTGGGTTATTGAATTATCGGTATTTTGCTAATATAAAATCAGTTTTATCTTAACAAGTACTCGGCCCGCCCACCCGCCCCTTATTTTCTCAGAGGATATGTGATTTGCCGAAATAACTCTTATCTTAGCAAGTAGTAGCCCCGCCCACCCACCCTTTACTTTTGTAGAAGGTATGTCATCTGCCAAAATCAGTCTTATCTTACGAAGTACTAGGCCCGCCCACCCGCCCCTTATTTTCTCAGAAAATATAGCATTTGCCAAAATCAGTCTCATATTAGATAAGTACTAGCCCCGCCCACCCGCCCCTGTTTTCTCAGAGGATATGTCATTTGCCAAAGTAAGACTTATCTTTGCAAGTACTAGCAAGTACTACCCTCTGAGAGTGGGCGGAGATAGTACTTGCTAACATAGGCCTTATTTTGGCAATAACATATCTTCTGAGAAAATAGAGGGCGGGTGGGTGGGGCTAGTACTTGGGAAGATAAGGCTGATTTTGGCAGATGACATGTCCTCTGAGAAAACAGGGGGCGGGTGGGCGGATCTAGTACTTACTACGAAAAAACTGATATTGCTCCTATTAATCTTGTAAAAACTTGTGAACTTTAAAGGTATTAAAATGCAAATTTTTATAGCAACGAGTTAAATTCCTAAATCTACCCGAAATCTACAAAATATCATGAGCTTTTACTTGTGAGTTATCACTGCATTAATATTTTTTAGATTTGCTTATAAAAGTGAGTCAAAAAAATTAATGAATGTATCAATTTATTTTGTTGATTAAATCAGGAACGGCTCACTCCCTTTTCCCAGAAAATTTTGGGAATACAGTACTGGTATTTTTAGTATTACAGTGCACCAATCCAAGTTGATATACGTGTCCTTGCAAAAATGTTGATGACCTCATCGCAAAATTTTGCAAAGTAAAAACTTAACTCAAAAATGCTGGATATGTTTCACTGTACTTTAGGTGCGAGGGAAGTTTTGTCGCAACAGCTTTTGATCATTTTTTTTTTATTAAAACACAGCAAATGTGATCGATTGTTTTGAGAAAATCTCTCAGGACATATTTAATAATTTTTTGAGATGACGTCATCAACTTCTTGAAGGGGATGAATAAATAAATCTACAAAAAAAATGTCTAGCTAATTTTCAAACAAGGTCAAAAAATGATCAAAAATTTCATGAGGTATATAAAAATTGAGCTTTTGGAAAAATGTAATAAAAATCCACAAAAAATTCTGGAATATTCGATTTCGACGTGTTTTTTTAGAAATATTCGGTTTGAACGTGAAATTTTTTAAAAATCGTAAAATTTCTCACATTTGAGTTGGCGATTCTGGAAAAGTGGTAGAATTTTTCGATAAAATGAAACCGAAAATAATTTTTGGGGATCGAGATCTTCAAGAAAATGTCTCGGTAATTTTCGAAGGTGGTCGAAAAATGAGGACTTTTATATAAAAAAAAATCTCAAAATTATGTTATAATTTTTGA